AGATTGCTATGTCTTCATAGTAAATGGAACTTTTTGCAACTTTTGTTTTTCTGAAATCTGCTTTTTCTGATATTAATAGCAACTCCAGGTTTCTTTCGAGAGCTTCTTTGGAGGTTCTAGCAGGGAAGCCGTTACTCATATGCCCTTGACCAAAGAACTGTCCACCTCTATTGGGGAGGGTCGTCCTCTTTGATCGAGCGCGTGGCTTTGGGAAGGATGCATGTGGAGCGGTGAGGGAGGAAGGGGACACCCGCCTGGTCGGCCAGCTCAGCCGAATCAACCCTGGCGATCAACGAGGTGACAGATGTCGCGGCCAGATGGCCCTCCCATCCCAAGTTTCTTCTGATTAGTGTTTGCACGGTGTATCTTTTACCAGCTTTTTACTTTTAATCTATTTACATCATTCTATAAAAAGTGGTTTTCTTGTAGAAACGTGTAGTTCGGTCTTAAACAAAAAAATCCACTCTAGCAATCTCTGGCTTTTAACTGGTGTATTTAGACCATTTGCATTTAATGTAATTATTCAGATGGTTGGATTTAAGACTGACATTTTATTATTTGTTTTTCACTTATTCCTTGATTTCCCCTTTCCTGATATCTTTTGAATTATTTGAATATTTTTATTGCATTTTAATTTATATATTGGCCATTTTACTCTATCTCTTTGTATAGATTTTTGGTGGTTCTCTAGGGATTGGTTACAATATACACACTTAACATACAATATGCACACTTAAAATTAACATGTTACCATTAAACTTTACAATCCCATTGGTTCCTTTCCCTCCACCCTTTGTGTGATAGTCGTCAGATGTTTTACATGTATATACATTGAAAACCCCACCAGATCATGTTACAGTTTTGCTTTCAACTGTCACATATATTTTAAAGAATTAAAGGGAGAAAAATAGTCTACTATTTTCACTCAGATGGATGTTAATTTTGTTGCTCTTCCTTCATGCCAGAAGTTCCAAGTTCCTCACTGGTACCATTTCTCTTCCTCTGTAGAACTCCCTGGAGTTCTAGCCCAAATCTCTTAATTTTTGAGACAAAATCTCTTAATTTTCTTTCATCTGAGAATATCTTTATTTTGCCTTTATTCCTGAAGGGTATTTTTTACCAGATCTGGAAGACTGGGTTGACAGTTGTTTTCTTTCAAAACTTAAAAAGTTTCCACTGTCTTCTGGTTCGATGGATTCTGGTTAGAAACCCATAGTCATTTGCATGATTTTTCTCCCATTGGTAATAAGTTTTTTTTTTTATGGCTACTTTCAAGAATTTTTATCTTTGATTTTCAGTAATTTGATTATGACCTATCTGTGTATGGTTTTCTTTGTGTCTATTTGTTTGGAGTTTGCTGAACTTCCTGAAGCCATATAATTACGTCTTTCTACGCTTCTGGGAAGTTTGTATCCATTATTTCTTCAAATACTCTTTCAGCACTAACCTTTTTCTTCTGTCCTTCTGGGACTCTAAAGGCACAAATGTCAGAACTTTCATATTGTCCCACGGTCTCCTGATGCTCTGTTCATTATTCTGTCATTTTTCTTCCTATCTGTTGTTCAGATTAGATAATTTCTGTTGGTCTATCCTCCAGTGAACAGACTCATTCCTCTGTCATATATATTCCTTTGTTGAGCCCATCCAGTGAAATTTTAAATTTTAGTTATTGTCTTTTTCAGAACCTAAATTTACATTTGGGTTTTTTTTACCCCATTAAAAAAATTGTGGTAAAGTACACATAACATAAAATTTCTCATCTTAACCATTCTTAAGTGTCCAGTGCAGTGGTATTAAATACATTCATAATGCTGTGTAACCATCACCCCATCCATCCTCATAACTCTTTTCGTCTTGTAAATATACCCATTACGTAATAACTTCTCCTTTCTCCCTCCCCCAGCCCTTGGCAGCCACCATTCTAGTTTCTGTCTCTATGATGTCGACTACTCTAAGTTATCTCATATAAGTGGAATCACACCATAATTGTCCTTTTGTGACTGGATTATTTCACTCAGCATAATGTCCTCAAGGTTCATCCATGTCGTAGCATGCGTCAGAATTTTATTCCTTTTTAAGGCCGAATAATACCATTTGGTTCTTTTTACAGCTTCCATTACTCTGCTGAGAATTTCCATCTTTCCATTCGTTTTAAGAGGATTTTTCCTTATTTCATGGAACGTTGTTATCATAGCTGTTTTAAAAATCTTTGTCTAATAATTTCAACGTTTCCGTCATACTGGAGTTGGCATCTATTGATACTCTTTTCCCTTGTAAGTTGTTGAGATTTCCCTGATTCTTCGTATATTGAGTAATTTTCGATTATATCCTGGACATTTTGAAACTTTGGGTTCTTTTGAAATTTTGAAATCTGAGAACGCTGACTTTTTTAAGCAGGCAGCCAGCCCAGTAAGGTCAGAGCCGCAAGTTCTCACCCACTTCCCGTGGGCTGCGGTTTCGATTTCAGTTAAGTTTTCAGAGGCTTTGCAGTATATTAGGATATTCCCCACCTGTGTGCCCGCGAGGACACACTGCATTGTAATTCAGTTCTCAAAGCCTTTAGCATGTTGTTTGGGGTCAGGTCCATCCGTGTACAGGTTGGGGGTGCGTCCAGGACTTCATACACAGCTTTCTTGGATGGCTTTCTCAAGCTCCCCTTTCCCTGTGCTTTTCTCCCACACCCTCTGACTCCCCAGGGCCCCTTTACTTCTTAAGGCCTCAGTTTGAAACTGCCACTGTCACTTGCACCTATATTCCATTGGCCAAGGCAAATCACATGGGCAAGGTTAAGATGAGTGAGGCGGGCAGCCCCACCCTGCCGGCTCCCGTGCTCTGCAAGGCCACGTGGCAGAGGCGGGAAGAGAGTGAAGGGTTGGGAACAAAAATCCCATCTGCCATTGTAACGCTGCAGACTCAGGATCACAGAACACCCAGGCCTCAGATCTCTCCAGCTGGGTTGTCCCAAGTCCTCCAGATGACTGGTGTCCCCCTTCCCTTTAGTGTCTCGTAAGCTGGCTTGAGCCCCACCTCGTGCACTGTGCAAAGTCCAGGGGACTCCTTATGAGTTCTACAAGTTCCCCGGAGCTTAGGGTCTCCTGAGCACTGCTTCTTTTGGCTTCCTTTTCCTTCTAAACGCTATTCCTCTCCCTCCTATGTCTGTTCCCCACCTCCACCTGCATCCCACACTCAGCTTAGGGCTCGTGTTTGCATAATCAAAATCCCTCACCTTGCTTCGCTGAGCAAAAAGCCATCTATTCTGAGCTTCTTTTTACCATCATAAAATGCTTTTTTCTCCCCATCCTGTTCACTCAATAACATTCTGAGGCACAGTAAACTGTCTGTCTGGGTAAAGGGATTAACTAAAGGGAAGTGGTATAAAGATTTATCCCACACCAACTTCTTTTGGGACCACGGTGTTGGGGGAGAGTGTTTCCTTTCCTCCTGCTGCTTGTATGAGCACAGCAAGTGCACTGAGGAATGCTGTGGTAAGGAAACCAGTTTATTGCTATGTAACCCAGTCTTTCCAGAACTTTCTTGGCCGCGGGACATCTGTGTCAAGGAGCATCCACTAGTACCTGAAAGTCAGGTGTGTGGAAAGCCACAGAGAATGGAGGCTGGTTGTGGGGATTCGTAAGGGCAGGTGAGCCCCAGGTGCTTATCAGTCACCAGTCAATGGTGGCTCCAGATTCTCTCCAGGGACCACCCCCTTGGTGGCCATGAAAAATTGTCCCAATGAGGAAAGTTTTGAGAATGAAAGGAAACACTATTAATAATCACACCAGGGAAGTAGGCATGAACTGGATTGCTCTGGGCAAACTGGGGCATATGGTCATCTTACCCACGTGCTTTATAGCTGATGGTCGCTGCTGCAGAATCCAGATGGCGAATGAGGTGTGAGTTCTCTGATGGCCTCAGTTTCCCCACCTGTGAAGTGAGGGTATCTCAGTTATTTTTTCATTTATTCAGTCATTCAACACATATGTGGCGAAGCTCTCGCAGGTACCAGCACTGCGCTAGGCCTTGAGGGGCCAATCGTGGAAGGAGACGCTGCCCATCTTCAAGGGGATCACTGTGTGGAGGGAGAGACAGATGATGGGGTCATTCAGGAAGCATGGTCTCTGCCTCACTGTGACCTTTAGTCCTCAATTCACAAGCAGAGACCAATCTAGAAGGGCCTTTTGGTGGTGGATCCTGGGCTGTAACAGAAAGAGGCTCCCACAGCACCTGGAGGCATCACCTCACCTGCGCTGGTTCAACCACTTCCCGGCTGGAGTCCTGGGGAGAAGTGGAGACAAGGCCACCTCCTGCTCCAGCCAGGAGTCTAATCACGCCTCGCCCGCTGCTCCGGGGAATGGTTACCTGTCAAGGCTCATCCGAGCCCTTGGCCTCCTGGAGACAACCCCCTCCCCCTGCCCCCCCAGACAGTCCCAGCGGCAGCTGAGGAGCTGCTCCCCTGGGGTGGGGGGGGAGGATAATTACCTTCTACGACACTTACACCTATTCAGACTGGCCGTCACAGCAGTAGCTTGTGTCCTGCCAGGCCTGATAACAGAACCGTCATGGTCCGTGGACAGTCTGGCCTTGGGAGGTGAGCAGTGAGGGTTCCAGGAAACTGTGGAGATTGCCTGCGATTTGGACCACTTCAAATTAGATTGCCTCGCTGAGTGATTTCAGTCTCTGCAAATTGCATTGTGAACAGAGCCCGTTCCTTTGCTTCCCGTGGCCCCAGCTCTTAAAGCTTTCCTCAAAGACTGTCACCACTGGAGACAGCTGGATTTGGGCTTGAATCCCTGTGTGTGACCAGGTGTATGACTGTAGGTAAGTTACTTCATGGGGACAGTATTTCATGGGGACACTGTGTCAGTCAGGATCCTTTCTATTACAAAGGAAAGAAATGCAAAAGAGAAACTATAGGCTTATTAAGTGAGAAGTCTAGGGGAATTTCAGGTATGGCTGGATCCAGGTGATCAGATGAAGTCTTTTGGAATCCATCTCTCCCTGTAACTTGGCTCTGTTTTGCTCCTTCCCACTTCTCTACCACACAGCCCCTCTCTTCCTGGAGGCCCCCAGAAGTTCCAGCAGAAGGGAGAACTTCACTAGCCCAATAATTCCAGAAACAGTCTCAGGATAGAATCTCACTGGTCAGTCCTAAGGTATGTGCCCATCTGTAAGCCAAATGCTACGGCCAGAGGTTATGTCAATATTTTCAATTACTGCCCAAACTGGGCAGAGCCCTGGAGGCCGCCTGCTGGGCTGGATAGTAACTTTTTAGCTGCCGGATGGTGAAGAGGTGGCGGTGAGGCTCTGGGAGAGGGACTGGGCTGTATCGGAGCACCAGGGGGCTCAGGGCGGCACCGATACCAACCAATGAGGACATTTTTCTGCATTTCACCACCTGCTCTGGCTGTCCCAGGGAGTCCTGGTGAGCATCCCCTGCTGGCTGCTGCCCCGCCCAGACCACCACCCTTGTTTTCTTGAGCCGACATCTGCACTTGGCTTTAGTGGCATCCTCAGGCCTGTCTGTGCACACTTTCTCTTTAGATCTTTATTAACAAGTGTGCGCCACTGTTCAGGACAGCCTGGCCCCGCAGGCCACCTGCCTAGTAGATGGACATTAGTGTGGTGCCAGTGGACAGTGAGCAGTGGGCTCAGCATCTCTCCAGCCTCCCGAGCGGTGTCTGTGCCATTGTGTTCAACAACCTCGACCCTCGGGCTTTAGCTGTGTCAACCTTGAAATGGCTGATATTTGTTTGGTACTCGCTGGTGCTAGCACCTGCCCTGTGTTAACTCATTTAATCCTCACAGCAACCTTACGAGGGAGGCACCATTATTATCCCCATTTTACAGATGAGAAACGGAGGCACAGTGAGGTTCAACAACTTGCCCACAGTCACACAGCTAGGGAGTGGCAGGGCTGAGATTTGAACCGAGGACGCTGGCTCCTCCTGAGGATTAAACGAGACAAGGAAGGCATGGCATGCAAATGCCTGGCACAGGGGCCATGCACAGGGCAGTGGATAGCTCTTGGTTCGATAAGCTTGCACTGAGCACCTGCTGTATGCAAGGCCTGTGCCAGGGCCCAGGGTGCGGGGTTGATTCAGGGATGAGGAAACAGGGTTCCTGACCCCAGGGAGAAGAGAGGCCAGCGGGATGACGAGACACGTGGACAAATCTGTTTCGTGGGAGGATCACAGGAGGGTTCACCATGTTGGGGTTGGGGGAGGCTGGAGATGCCGACCCGGGAAGAAGGTCAGGATGGGCTCCCTGGAGGAGGCCGCACACGAAACGGGCCTTGAAAGAAGGGTGTGCATTCGGAGTCAACTTAGTTCTCTTGGTGGCAGGTGGCAGAAACCCACTCCAGCTAACTGCCACCCAGAGGGGGATTCAGGACCCCGGCGACCTCCCCAGATCCAAGGGCAGGAGTGTGGTCAGACCCCAGAATAGAGCGGGGGGGAGCAGGCAGCACTGGGGGTCCCTCTCAGGGTCCTGGGTCTCTGCTCATCTCACACGTCATGATCCTCTCTCTTTTCCCCACAGACCCATTCCTCTGTGTGTCCAGGCACGTGACAGAACCCGCCACAGAAATCGTGAGTTGACACATTATAGGTCTGGCCACGTAAAGAATTAACTCGTGGGTCTGCTTCCAACTCCTGACTGGCCTGGCTGAGGGCAGGGTCATGCACAAAATGGCTGTGGGGTCCCACTGCCAGAGGCAGGACCATGGGAAGGGGGAGGTTAACTGGGTTTCCCCCAGAAGCTCCTCATGGGGAGAATATCCCACGATGGTGACAAGGCAGGGTGGGCACCTGGAGGCAGGAGGGGCAAAAACACGCTCAGGAGCAGCTGATAAGATGCTTGGGTTTGACCAGGAGCCACATGCAGCCAGGTCTTGAGAGGCGGTCCCGCAGCTGTGTGCCGGGCCCGTGCTGAGTCATTCATGCTCTTCCTCAATTAAATGTCCACGAAGTAGGTGGTGATCATCCCTGAGGATGAGGAAACTGAGGCACAGGGAGCGGAATCGCCTGTTCAAGGTCACCCGGTTGCTAAGTGACAGAGCCAGGATTCGGGGGCAGAATTTCTGGGTGTCAAAATCACACAGCTCCAGGTCCCCTCACACCCAGAATGAAATCTAAGGTCCCTCCTGAGGCCTCGAAGGCCTGATCCAGTCCCCCATCCTCTCTGACTCCTCCCCCAAACCACTCCTCTGCTCCTGCCCCCCAGCCTCACCTCCTGGCTGTCCTGTGACGGTGCCCACAAGTTCCCACCCCAGGGTTTTGGCATGTGCTCTTCCCTCTGTCCCGATGTGCGTCCACCTCGGATCCAAGGGACTCACCCCTTCAGGTCTCTGCTCAGATGTCCCCACCCCAGAGAGCCTTCTCTGACCACCCCGTCTCCACAGCCTCCCCATAACTCCCTCCTCCCCTCTGCTGTATTCCTTCTATAGTATGTGTCCGCTCTGACGTCATCGGATCAATGTGCATTGCTCGTCTGGGGATTATCCATGTTCTACACCAAAATGCAAGCTCAATAAGGACAAAGATTTGGTGAGTTTTGTTCACTGCTATTTCCTGGTGTCCAGAGCACAGCTTGGTACACAATAGATGCTCAGTAACTATTTGTGTGCAAGTCAACCTGTAAAATGGGTAACACCTCCACATGCGTGTGCTGCGATGACTGACTTAGACCGTGTCCATACAGGGCGTATCACAGGGCCTGCCTTGAGGCGATTTTTCAACAAAAGTCATTATCACGACCTTTCCTTTCAGTGCTGCTCCCCACCTCCCCAGCTTCTGGGGCTCGCTAAAGGCAGCAGCAGCCGCCAGCCTCCATGCCAGAAAGCTGGTTGCGGGAGCCGCCTGCGCTGCTTGCCTGTATCCTGCCCGCGTCCCTTCCTGGCCCAGGGAAGGGTTGACCTCTGGCCCCCTGTGGCGGGGAGAGGAGTTGAGGAACTCATTCTGGCCAATTTCTTGCGAGCAAAAGTGCTTGCTATGGACTGAAGTGTGTCCCCCCAGAGTTCAGCTGTTGAGGCCCTCACCCCCAGTGTGACAGTGTTTGGAGACATGGCCTCTGGGGGGTGATCAGGGTTGGAGGAAGTCTTGGGGGAGGGGCCCTCATGATGGGATTATGAGAAGAGACACCAGTGCTTGCTTTCTATCTCCCTCTTCAGCCTCACTCACCGAGGAAAGCCTGTGTGAGGACACAGTTAGAACGGCTGTCTGTGACCCAAAGAGAGAGCCCCACTAGATGCCAACCCTCTGGCACCTGGATCGTGGACTTCCGGTTTCCCGAACCACGAGATATCAGTTCCTGTTGCTGAAGCCACCCCATCTGTCATGTTTTGCTGTGACAGCTTGAGCTGACTAAGACAGTGCTGCGTGCCACCTCAGGCCTGGTGTGAGACCACGTTGATGTGAGACTCTCCAGAGTTCTCTGTCCATCTGCTACAGTGACCAGCGATGGACCAGACGGTAGCCACTCTGTTGGCCTGGGTACCTGAGTGCAGACCACGTGGGGCAGAGCCTCAGCCGAGCTGAACTTGAAGCCTGAGTAATAGACCTTTGTGGATCTGGGGTTGTTTGTTATGCAGCAGAGCCTTTCTCATCCTGACTGACAAAGTTACAGGGGCCTGGTAAGGTTACCCCCCAACCACATAGTGGAAGAATATCTCTTTAGGAAAAAGCAGGGCTTGCTGTCACTGGCTGAATTCAGACCTTGTCACTTCTCTGGTTCCTGGAGAAGGATGGCAACGTGGGAGCCAGCAGAGACCTGGTTTCCATAGCCGACTCCTCCACACACCAGCTGTGTGACCTTAGACCAAGCACCACCCTCTCTGTGGCTCAGTTTTCTCTCCTGGTATTTGGGGATAACATGAAGTTCCTCCGCCACCCCCAGCACACACGAGTTCTCGAGGCTGTGATGTGAGAGCGTCTCAGGAGCCTGGGCCGGTGTCAAGATGGAGCCTGGACTCGCTGCTCTCCTGGGGTCCATGACTCTATGCCCTTCCATTTCCTGGTGCACGTGGCCTCCTGAGGAAGTGGTCCTGGTCACCCAGAAATGTTAACACCCCACAGGTGAGCAGAAGTGATGAACTGGTTGTGTCGCCTGGTTTGCTTGCTGTCACATTTAATGAGGCCCCAAGCCTGGCCACTCGGTCACTGTCATCAAACGCCCCCTCAGAGCTAGCACGGACCCTTCCCACTAAGGAGGCTCGTCTCGGAGACTCCAGCCTTCACCTCATCTTGTTTCTCTTTGTCCTTCCTGGCACGTCCAGGGGAAAGGTGGTGTTCAAGTCATCTGTCAGCCAGAGGAAAAGTTGAGCTTTGCTGAGGTGAAATTCTCTATGGGGCTGCCTTTCTGGTTTGGTCTTTCTGGGCCCCAGAACCTTGACTGTGGTCCTGTCCCCCTCCAGGGGGCTGGGGAGCGCGGCCTGAGGGAGCTCCTAGCCTCAGGCCTTTAGGACGCAGACCGGATGATTCCTTGAGAAAGGTAGCGTCCATCTATGAGGCGGGAGCTGTTGATAATTCCCCGTACAGATCATTTAAAACTAAATGCAACTTTGACTGGTGTCAACGGAGCCTGTGGCCGAGACATTGTTCACCAAAAAGCCCACGTGCTCTCCTGCACTTCCCAGCCTCCCTTGCAGCTACCTTCACACCATGTGACTAGTTCTGACCAACAGACTGTGAGCCAGAGTGACGTGTGTCATTTCCAGGCTGAGATGGCAAACAGCTGAGGCAACTCCTCCAGCCCTCTCTTCCCCTTCAGGGTGACCCCGGGGCCACCTCTTCCAGACGGCGTGGCTGCAAGATGAAGAGCCAAGAGACCCACGTCAGACTGTGATGTGAATGACCAGGAAATCTGCACTGTGTTGAGCTGTTGAGCTTTTGGGGGTGTCTGGCGGCGGCCAGCATTCACTATCCCGACTGATGGGGGCCCCAGAGAATGTAAGCTCCCTGTGGGCAGGGCCTTGTCTGTCTTGTCCACCCCGTGGCTTCAGTGCCTCACAAGCAGGTAGAAGCTGCTAAAGAAATCTCTGACGGATGACGGAATGAAGTCTCTGTTGAATTTCCAATGTTTCCTCACTCGGCAACCAGCGAAAGCCCTTCATCCAGGGGTAGCTCCGACAGAGCTCTCTGTTCTTCTCGTCCTCTTCCTTGCCTGGCTCAGGCTCTTGGGTCCTGCGTCGGAAGGTGTCTGCGGCTCCAGCTCATACTGCTCTGTCTCCCATGTCACTTCCCTCTGACACTGGCCTTTCTAGCACTTGCCCTAAATCTGAGTCTCGTCAACAGCAGTCCTGAGGAGCACATTGCCCCCCATGACATATCTGCTGCTAACCACTTGCTAGGGGGCTTCCCAGGCCACTTTAGTTTTGGTCTGAGGCCAACACAGTGATTTGACAGGTTGACGTTTTAGTCCAGAGATGGTACCACACGAATGTCCCACGGCTGGTCCTGATCCAGTAGATGTGACCGTGCCACTGTGCCTTTCTTCACCGGACGATGGTCACCTGCTTCTAAACCCATCATCAGGCTCAAATCAGCCTCCTGGACAGACTATTGGAGGACTCTTTCTAATGTCAAAACTGACCCAGCCCTCTGTTGCTAAGAACAGTGTAGTGGGAAAGAACATGGGCTCCAGAACCTGAGTGTTCTGGTTCAAATCCCTCTTCCACCCCTTAATGGCTGTGTGACCTTTGATAATTTACCTAACCTCTCTCTGCCTCAGTTTCCACTACTGTTAATGGGGAAACTTGGAGTCGGAGGAAGCCCACCCCCCCAACTCTAAATACTAGTGTGATCACTCGTCGAGCATTGCTCTGTGCTAGGCAAGGCTGTCACCAGTTCACAGAAGAGGGAACAGGAGCCTTAGAAACATCAGCTCACTCTTCCAAACCCCTGGGAAGTAGACCCGGGTACAACCCACGGCCCTTGCTCTTCGCCGCGCCCTCCAGTGACCACAGCAGACTCTGGACCCTGCTGGCCTCGCCCCTGGCCTCCTGGGATGGCTCGCTTGGTACTGACCGGCTCTGACATCAGAAAGCGCTTCTTCCCTTTGAATTCTGACCCACCTCCTGGAACATTCTCCCCACTGGCCCTTGTTTTGCTCTCTGGAGCTGCAGTGAGTTTAATCTGCTGAGTAACTGCAAAATGAATTTAATAAACTCCATTAAAGTGTGTCATCTTGTGGACAGGGCGCAGAATTTCTGTGCTTCAGACTCTCTCATAATTACTGGAACCATGGAAATTGCAGGGATCAGAGACTCGCCTGGAGACGGGGACCGACTGTGTGACCAAGAAACGCAGATGAGCCGAAACTCCTGCACAACAAGGTGGGCCGGGATCTGTGTTAAATTAGGGGACGGGCCCAGACCGTTCACTCCATGGGGACTGACAGCGACCTTCTGGGGCTTGCTAGGAAACGGGGGAGGCGGGGGAGTGGGAGGGGTTGAGTGGGTGATCGGGTGGCAGCCCACCTTTGACAGATTGACTCATTCTACGCCTCAGAGTTCGTCTGGGCTAACCCCATTTTCCAGGTCAGTCAATACTCCTCCTCCTCCACCATCCCTTCCCTACCACCCTCCATCGCCAGGAAGGAAGAGACTTGTCCGACATCACACAGCTGGTCCATGGGAACCTGGGACCAGAACACAGGCTTTCTGATGCTATGTCCAGTGACCTTCCCCTTGCACGAATTAATCCTGGTCCCTATCAGCTTTGGTGAACAAATGTGGGCTCCCAGTCTGTCATCAGGTTAGCAGAAAACGCCACCACGGCACAAGGAGACCCTTCTTTTCATGCACCTGTGTGATGCACAAGAAACAGTGGGGGGGGGGGGTGACAGAGCAGGGCCTGGCTCCCCTAAGCTCCAGTCTCCCTGCCCAGCACCCACGTGGTGGCACTTATTGTCGCCTCCCGTCGCACCCTGATGGCAGACAGTGTTGACTGATTTCGGCACCGTTCCCACTAAATACGGACCTCTCAATCTCCTCCAATACTGGAGTTAACGCCTGAAATGAAACCCATTTGCTGTACTCAGTCTTTAAAAGCTCCATCAACCAGGAGAAAAAGTAGGCAATTCGTGACTTTTAATTTTTTTTCTAAAATCCAGTGTTGAGCATCAGCCATGGCCGCAGTGTGGGAAGTGCTGCGGCAGATTCATTGCAAGAATGGCCACAATTCGCCCACCTTCCCTGTAATCAAGCCCTTTGCAGCAAGCCTTTGCAGCTTCTTCCATCAAGCGGTGGAGTTTATTTCCCCACCCCTCGTCCCTCGGCAGGCCTCGTGACTTCCTCTGTCCCACAGAATGGGATGGAAGTGTCAGTGTGACAGTCCAGAGCCTGGGCCCCCAGAAACCCTGCATTCTTCTGCCCAATCTCTTGGAACCCCACTACTGCCATGGGAACACGCCTGGGCTAGCCTGCAGAAGGTGAGAGACCCCATGGCCTAACTACCCTCATCATCCCAGCTGACAGCCAGACAACTGTCACTCATGTGAGTAACGCCATCAACGACCAGCCAGCTGACCACAGACAGGTTAGTAAGTCCAGGTGAGATCAGCCAATTCTGTCCAGACCAAAAGAATCCCCCGGCTGTGTTGCAGGCTCATGAACTAAATAAGTGCTTATTGTTTTAAGACACTAGGTTTTGGAGTTTTTTAAAAAGGGCAGCCATGGCTAACATGCACTATCTAATGTATTCCCTTCAATAATTTAATGTGATCACAATGATCTCCATTTTACAGATGGGAAAGTTGAGGCTCAGAGAAGGAAAGACTTGCTTGAGGTCACCCTGCCAGGAATCACAGAGCTAAAACTCAGCCCAGGTCTTTCTGACTCCCCAGTGAATGTCTGAAGTGGCTGAAGAATCTTGAAGACTGGAGTGGCAAATAGGTTTCGTTTCACTTGCCAAGGTCGGTTAGTGGTAATGTCTGCCTGTAATGGAGTGTTGAAAAGATGCAGGGAAATAAAAGAATACTGTGGTTGATTAGTGATGTCTGCCACAGGTGGTGAATGCAGAAGCAGCAGTGTCTATGCTGTGCTTTTGCCATGTAAGTCCTGCATAGACTCAAACTCGAAGTACGAGAGGGTTTTGGCTGCCACATCAGGATTTGTCACTGAGGCAGAGCAGGGTGCATGTGAGCACCCCCTGCTCTTAGTAAGATGACCATGCACTTTAGGCTCAGGCCCAGGGTCCTCTAGTTGTCAGCCATGCTGCCATCACTCTCCAGCCCAGGGGGCCATAGCATGGGTCACCTCTTAGGGCTGGCGTTAGGATTGAAAGAGATAATGGGTGAGAAAGCATTTAATTTCCAGTAAAAATGATGGCATAAGGACATTTGAATCCCATTCCTCTCTCAAAATCAACTAAAGACAACAACAACAAAAGTTGGAATATAGGAGATTTTTTTCCCTTGAATTTTTATTGAAATCAGAAATTGCCACAGCCCCAAACCACAAACTCTGAAGGCTTTCTGCCCAAATACTGTGAAATCTAGACCAGCACACAGAGGAAATGGAGAACCCGTGCAAACATCCCCAGCGTGTTTTGTGGTTAGGAAAGCTGAGGCTTTATGGGATATCCCAAACCTGAAAACTTCGTCCAAAAATCCTTGGCTTAGAGCCCTGAGACCCAGACACAGCCTCCCCAGAGGCTTTGCTGTGGCCGTACTGACCGCTGGGTATCAGACACTGAGCCATGCTCCCAACTGATGTGGAGAGAGTCTAAGAGGACAGAACTGCATGGAAGCTGTCATTTGCCCGAGGCCGTCCTCCCCACCCCTTCCCACACCATCCTTCACAAAGAGCCGGCCCCATCTGAAAACGAGCTAAGAAGAAAGCCACACAGGAACTGTGCGTGGATGCTGCAAAAAGGGAGAAAGGCAACATAAAGGCAGATGAGGAAGATACGCCACGAGAGGAATTGCCCAAAGGAACAGGGAAAACAATTGTTCTTCACAGTCTCAACCAATTTCAAATGACACAATGTGTCCTTAAAAAGACTCAAATAAGAAACATGAGGATTGAGAGACGTGATTATAAAGTAACAGCGAGAGATAAAAACAAGCTGGCTGGTCTTAGGAATGAAATAGGAAGAGAAGAAAGGAACAAAGAGATTAAAACCGTGTTAGGCACACCAATGAATAAAATAAGTATGACTAAACTATAATAAGGAACGTTGTGGATAAGCTATAGAAAGTCACACAAGATTAAATGGCAAAGAACTCTTTTGGGGGTCAAAGATTGGAATGATGAGAGGCGTAAAAGACAGACAAGGATCATCCAACAAATAAACCTTGTGTGGGACTAACGGTAGACAGTGATGCCCTGCACAATGATGTTTCCATCAATGATGGACCGCATATACAATGGTGGTCCCATAAGATTAGTACGATATAGCCTGGGTGTGTAGTAGGCTGTACAGTCTAGGTTTGTGTAAGTGCACACTATGATTTCACACAATGGCGAAACTGCCTAACAACACATTTCTCAGAACATATCTCTGTCATTAGGTGATGCATGACTATAAAAATATTCAAAGACATACTACAATAAAAGTCTAGAAATAAATCCATGAATTCATACACACACAACCTTCCAGGAAAAGTTGCTGAGGAAATATCAGCTCTAAGAATCTGAATGAAATAATTGAGTTTCAAAAATAAAAGATTTGTCTGGTAAAAAGGTCAGATCGCACCGTAGGGGAGAATCAGGTTGGCACAAATATCTCCATGGTAACATGAGAAGACAGTGGACCAATGTCTATAAAGTTCCGAGGGAAAGAAAATACACCCTTGAATTTTATACCCAGCCAAGCAGTTTTTCAAGTAAAAAGGCCACAGAGACATTCTCAAGTGTGCAAAGCTCAGGAAACGACATTCATGAGTCTTCCTGGAAAAAAGGTTCTATTAATAAGAATTTGAAATTAAAAAAGAACACAGGAAAGGCAAAGATATAGTTAAAAATTAAAATAAAAAAAGAAGGAAGGCAGTCAGGAAGGAAGGGGGTTCCCCTCTGAGAACTAATTCTATTCAGACTCAGAGCTCCCTCTAAATTGTCATGAGAATTGTGCTTCCATAACAGCATGAAATGTTAGAAACCTTGACAAGGTAATAATAATGTTTTAGGAACAGTCTAAGTGTGCTAATTTTCTAATCTTTATTACTGGGGAATGAATACATTCAGCATAAAATCAAAACAAAGTGTTTTCTTTTTTAAAAGCATGACCACATCTTAATATTTTACAAGCTTTTTTTTTTTTTTTTTTTTTTTTGAGGAAGATTAGCCCTGAGCTAACTACTGCCAGTCCTCCTCTTTTTGCTGAGGAAGACTGGCCCTGAGCTGACATCTGTGCCCGTCTTCCTCTACTTTATATGTGGGACGCCTACCACAGCATGGCGTGCCAAACGGTGCCATGTCCACACCCGGGATCCGAACCAGCGAACTCCGGGCCGCTGAGAAGCGGAACATGTGAACTTAACCGTTGCACCCTTTTTTCTTAACTGTAAAAGCATTTTTAGGAAAAAAATATCCCTTGTGAAGCAACATTTGTCTGACGTTAATATTTATTTCAGTTTCACCTTGATTTTTCATTCTTTTGTTAAATTTGGGTAAAATTATATTGAATACCCTTTCATTAAAAATAGCGTGTACAATTTCATTTTTCCACATCTGTCTTTCCTTCTATGCTACGTATGTGCAGAGAGAGGTGCTTAGAATGAGATTTACCAAAGATTGAACTTATTTTTGGTAATATTCAGTATTGCTTGAATGTTTTACACTATACACTTACCATTTTGACAGAGTCAAAATTCCTTATTTTCCTGTCATTTCGGTGCATCAGTTGCGTCTCAGACTGTGTCTTGCTCAATGAACTCAGGCTGGTGTTTTGACAGAAGTGGGCGTTGGAGGATCCCCTTGCAGAACAGGCAGGATGAGGTTGGAGGGCTGCCTGGAGGAGGAGCTGAGGTGGGACCTCCTGGCTGAGCAGCAAATGGTTAGTGTGGAGGGGAGGACAGGGGGAGGGTCCAGTGCTGCCTGGACACGGGGACTAGCACAGCACCCACCTCCATCTTTGCCATCCCAGGGTGGGACAAGGGACGGGACTCCACAGACTCCAGCTTGGCTGACACTTACTACAGGCCCACTCTGTAGGAGCCTGTAGTCTCCTACAGACTATGGGTCTGGACTATTACTACAGATGGCAAGTGGGCTCCTCACACCCATCCTGGCTCCCTCCAATCCACTCCCTTGCAAACCCAGTTGTATTACCCAGCCCCCACATGCTGAAACCCTTCCCTGGGTTCCTCTTGCTCTCAGCCCAACAGAGAGGGTGGGTCATTGGTCCAAGGCCACACAGCTAGTAACTGAAGATGAGGGATTTGACCCTGGTCAGTCCAGCTCCAGAAGTGGTGGCCTTAGTATCCAAGACCGAGATCCTGAGCGGATCTCATGTGGCCCCCACCACCTGTCCGATAGCCCCTGCTCTTCTCTTATATCAGAGAAACCGAGACTGAGGGAGCTCCATTTAGGAAGAGGTCGATAGATTCAGAGTCTCTCCTTCGGCCCCCTCCTCCTCTCTTCCCCACCATCCAGCCCCCAACTTTCGGAGTGAAATTAAAGGCAGCTGTTAGTAAGAGCCTGGCTGGAAGTGATGAGTTAAGGATTTGAGTCCCAGCCCTGTGACCTCCAGTAGGTCCTTCTCTGTAAAACAGGATGGCTCTAGAGCATTAATTAGTGGATTCATGCCTTCCCTCACGTATTACGTAAATCTTTATCACACACCGCTAGGCACCGTGTGGGCACTGGGGATTCAGTGGCGAATACACAGGCAGGGTCTCGGTCTTCCCAGGGTGTCAGCCAGCCAGGGAGACAGATCACAGAAGCACGGATGGAGAACAGCTGGGTGGCACCCGTGGGGGCTGCCTCTGTTTTAGCTGCGCCTTCAAAGATGAGAGGAAGCTAGTGGGGTGCAGAGCTGGGGAAGAGCATTCCAGACCGTGGGCAGACAGGAAGCTGTGGAGGCCGTGGTGAGAAGGCTGGATTTTATTCCAAGTGCTGCAGGAAGCCACTGGAGGGTTTTAAGCCGGGAGGCATGTGATCTGATTTACTTTGTAAAGCATGGCCCCAGCTGCCGGGTGGAGGAAGAGGTGGGAGGCGGGAGAGGAACCTGGAGCCCAAGCTCGGGGGTGCCATGGTCCTGCAGGCAGGGCAGTGTCTAACATATCCTCAGCTGTGCAGTCTGCCTCCTGCACGCCAGGGCCAGGCAGCCTGCACCCTGGGCCCTCCTCCAGCCCAGGCCTTAGCCGGTGGACCTTGTGGCGTCCTTGCACTGGGAAGTGGGGATGAGGGGAAGCCTAGAGAGAAACACCTCATTTCCACCCAGCCCTCCTGGGATCACCTCCCCAACAGCTACGACACATCTACACAGACACAGGGGTGCAGACGGCTGGTCTAATGACAATCTTTGGCATTTGCATAGCCCCCTGGCCTCAGCTTTGCCTCCCCTGCATATATGGGGGACAGGACACTGATGGAGCGTAGGCTGAACACTCCAAAAAGTTGCCTTGCCAGGCTCCCCAGTTCCTGCTCCGTGCTCCAGCGCCTCATCCTGGCATTCAGGGCCTTGCACAATCGGAATGAAACCCACCTCTCTGGCCCGGCTTCTCTCCCCACAGCTCTGGTCCCGGCCAACCGGCCTGTCTGCAGAAACCTCAGACCCTCCCCCACGCCTTTGTGCTACTGTTCCCCCTTCCCCCAGGCCCTTCCGGTCTCACCACCCCTCTCTAACCCCCCCTCCCCCCACCTGCCCTGAGAGGCGGCAAATGGCTTTCCCCATCGCACAGACAAGGACAGGACCTCCGAGAGGTGACGGATGAGATTTGCCCAAGGTCTCACGGCTCGTACGTGCCAGAGCTGGGACTCTGCCCTGGGCTCACGTAGCCTTGGCCCTGGGGCACAGCTCCCCAGGCCCAGTGGCCAGAGCAGGACCCTCAGCCCCAGAAGAGCTCTTGTGACCTTGGTCTTCATGTGGTTCCCGGTATTTTCAGGCCGTTTCTCACCAGCTGTTCCTTCGTCTGCTCTTCACTCAAACCCTGTGCAGTGCGTCAGGCAGGGATGACCATGCCCACTTGTCAGATGAAGAAACTGAGGCCCAGGGAGGGGAAGCGACTTGTCTGGAGCTCCCTGGGTGTTAGTAGTGGAGGCAGGACTGGAGGCCTGGCCACAGAGCTCATGAGCACAGGTGAGAAGCTGAAGGCAGGGACGTAGGCTCAGGGGTGAATCAGGGAGGGCTTCCTGAAAGAGGCAGGCTCAGAGACGGCTTGGGAGGACTGAAAGGAGGGGCTTGCTGAGAAAGGGGCTCAGAACTGAGGGGCAAGGTGAGCTCGGGTACACAGAGCAAAGAGGGCTGTTTTCCCTCTGGACTGCGCAGAACATCTGAGAATGGGGAGGGGCCTTGGAGTCAGGGCCCAGGTTTCAGATGAGAGCTGAGACCCTCAGGAGACTCATCTATCTGGGGCGTGTTGTCGCTACGAACAAGGGCTTCACCGATCTGATGAAGCACCAACCGTGTGCCTGGCATCACTGGACAGCTGTGGGAGTATAACCGACTCAGACCCCCCGGCCTGGGAGGTGGGGACTCTCGTCAGCGCCCGTGTACAGGCCAGAGGCGGAGGCACAGAGAGGTGAAGTCATTGGCTCAGGTCCTACTGCTCCAAATGGTGGGACTGGGATCCATGTGGCTCCAACCCCTGCATTCTTCGCCAGGACGCTACGGTCATTGCCCTCCCCCTCCTCCCCACTTCCAGGCCCCTGGGAGATCATACAGTGACAGCAGGAAGATTGAGCCTGGCAGCTGTATGTGGTCATCCAGAGGTGTCCACCGTCAGCTCAGCCACACTTGACCACCTGAGTGGGGGAGCAGCAGAGCTGATGGGGACACTGGAGACTGAGCAGGTGGAGATGGGTTCAAGCCCTGGCTTAGCCCCATGAGGGCTGTGTGACCTCAGGTGAGCCACTTAGCCCCTCTGGGCTGCCCTTTCCTGCTGGGCTCTGCTTCCTGCGTGGTGCAGTGGGAGGTTCCAGTGGATAAGAATACCTGTCACCCATCTGAGAGGTGAGAGGGATTATCATGAGCCTGTGGGCATGGCTGTCACCACAAGGGCCTCCTCCTGCTCTGGAGCAAGCCCAGGGCTCAGCAAGAAGCTCTTTTTCCCTCTTGGGCACCACTTCTCCTGAACCAAAGCCCCAGCAGGCGCGCGAGGGTCAGCTACAGTTGACTTGTCTTCATCAATACCCTCCCACTGCGCGCCACCCTCCCTGCGGACTGAGCAAGGGAAACCCATCCCTTCCTCCGGGAACTCTGAGCCTTGTCAGTCCCTTGGGTTCCTCAGAATCCCAGCCCGTCAGAGCTGAACTCTAAGATGCCATCACTGTGCAGACGGGGAAACTGAGGCCTGAGGGTAAATAATGATGATGATGATGATGATAATAATAATATGCTAATGCTTCCAGTTGCAGATGATGAGAAGAAAACCCACATCCAACTGGCTTCAGCACAAAGGGGAGGTATTGGCCTAGGGAACTGAGAAGGCAAAGAGGTGGGCCCTAGGAGTGCCTTGATCAAGGGCTCAAACGTCACTAGGTCTGAGCCTCACTCCTGCTCTCGGCACTGGTTCTGCCTATTGGCTCATCCTCAGATCCCATGTGGGGGCAAGGCTGCTGCCTTTGGTCCCCTCAGGGTCAGTTTCAGAGGCAGGGAGCACGTGCCTCAGTCCCAGCTTTCCCAGCCAGTGTTTTGCTGCCTCTCATCGCCGGTGATGGACCACGGGACCATCCCTGAGCCGATACCTGTGGCCAAGTTAATGTGATGTCCAGACCAGCTGGGCCAGCCGGAACCACAGACTGAGAGGGGAAGAAGCGGGGTGACTCTGCTCCCTCCCCAAATCAAGGGCCGTGGTTGAGATGAGGACACCAGGACTGCCGAGGCAGAGGACTGATGCCCGCGGGCCTGCACACGCTGGACTACCGCGCACAGGGGCTGGTCTGAGCCGAGCGTCCATTACCGCAGACCTCCCTAGACGCTGCCAGGTGGGCATCCTCACACAGGAGGGGACTGGAGTCAGGACGGGAGGTGGCCCACCTAAGCCCACACAGCCAGGAAGGGTTTGAGGTCAGCACGCCAAAGCGCATTTCCATGGTTACTTACCGCTGAGGGCAGCTGTGCCCCAGG